GGGGTTTTATGTGTCAAAAAGGTAGGCTATTATTCACATTACAAACGTGCAGTAGATAGGTCAACTATGGGTTTATGGACATTTAACGTACACTATTATGCATAAAGTCTGAAGAATGTCACCAATGCTAGCAAAAAATATACAATTGGATAAGATCCCTTCCAGTTAACTTACGACTTTGGCAAAAGACTTATGCATAAGGGCTAATCGTTTCAATTCACTTAGCAACATTATCCAAACAAACAGACAGACAGAGAAAAAATGAATCGCCCAAGACATGACTAGCAAACAAAGCATGATATCAAACAATGAAAATAGAATAAATGAAAGTTAGTATACTTCCACAAGAAAAATGGTAGATTAACTGTCGTGAAGAAGCGAAAATGAGCACTCACTGATGCCTTCAATTGTGCGATGATTAGCGTCGCGCCACTGTCCAAAGCCCTCAGTAAGAATCCGCTTCCAGCGCATAAGTTCATCCGGCGTGGAGCAAGTGAACTGGAGCATGCAAGCGGTTGGCTTTTCAAGGATGAGAAAGAAACTCAATCCCCTATTGGAGCATTCTCGAAAGTAACCATAGGCGTTGCCCCAGAACAACGGAAAAGGCTGCAGGGGATGAACAGTGTAGTGGAAAGTTATGTAAAAGAGGAAAGGGAAAAGAAGGAGACGATATTTAGGATTACTTTAGCATTTAAAAATTTGGTGTTAATGAGTCTAAAATGCCTCACTATCCATTTGGTTTGAACTCTGGACTTCTGTGCTGCTGCCCTTCCAGCCTGATACCTGAATGGGGAGAGTTTAGTACAACCTGAGCAAAGAAAGATCCGTCACAAGTTTCTATAAAAAGCGAGCAAACTATCCGGTTATTAACTAGATATGTCTGCACTATCGTAATATGGAGCGGAGCTCCATGGCTGAGCCGTCTGTCGCTCGGACATTATACTAGTCATAAACATTGAGAGTAGTATGATAAGGCGAATAAGTAGATTTAAAGTCTATTATTCCGCAAAAGTGATTGAGCTGGAAATCTAATTCAGTCATACCGAATACAGCCAAGAAGTTAAAGATGCAATGTAGTAATTAGGGAAAATGAGTAAGTGATGGAGGAGTATGCAGAATCATGGAAACGCAAGAAGGAAAAGGGTTAAGTGTGCGCATAAGTTTACAGCACCAGGCATCCCAAAATTCCATTCTCCACAAGGCCGAATTGTAGCTCATCTCAACGCAGATGCAAGCGGAATTCGAACCACAGTGATGCAGGTAACGAGGCGGACATGCTATGCCCAGGCTATGATGAAACGTAGTCTAGTTTAGCTCGAAGCAATAGAGCCTAGCTTTATTCATATATGATTGTGGGAAAATTAAACTATCAGTCTTTCATAACCTTAAACGCAATAGGATGAAAGCATCTCATATAAGTGATGTATTGGTAATCCCGAAAACTTACTTATGAGCATAAATAAAAGGTTGTTTGACCTTGTTTTCGCAAATTGGTCATATTGGTAGAAAGACTTAGAGGAACGCACCTAGTCCGGAGTCCATTGTATGCATCATCATTTCGAGAGTAGGACCGTTGACGTGGTACTTTCCCAGAAGTTTCGCCGGCGTCGTAGTCGGCATCGTCAGTGAGTTTCGCCACTCTTAGCACGACACAACAACTCGTCAAAGAGACAAGTGAAGCCGATCCTCTGACCAAATGTGTGCTAAACAGTTTTGGTATCTCCCATTCCGCCCAGGGCTATTCACATTTCATATATCCTCATATCATGCCTTCATTGTCACAGTTTTTTATTTAGATGTTGTTTGGTGTGCTCCTTCGAGCTGTCGTTAATCAGAGTCTGCCATATTGTTACCTAGTCCTCCTTCCCTTGGTTCACATATTTCACTCGACCCCTGCCACCCCATCTGTACCACTAGAGGCGTTATTGGCCCTCCCCTGCGTCTGGGTGACTAATTCGAGGCTAAAGCCTTTGGATAAGTCTCATCATCAAGCCTTTGCTACATTGACCACGTCTATGGTACAACAGACCTACTGTCAGCCAACTAGCTCCAGTCTCCGCCACGTCTATCCTGTTTCTATCCCCAATACCAAGTCTATGGCTTCTCCTGCCATAGTCTCTTGTGTGCCAACCCACAATTGTTGTGGTACTGCTTACCTTGATTAGGTTAAATGTTGAACCACAACGTTTGTAGGTTGACACCCACACGCAGAGTGTGGGTAATAACGCCTCGAGTAGCACAGATGAGGTGGAAGAGGTCGAGTGAAATGCTTGAATTAGGGCGATAGCAGACGGATTATACGGGGTAAGAGGGAGACTGTGATAAGACCTAGAGAACGAGGAATGGGTGACAATATTGCAGACTCTGATCAACATTCCCAGCACAAGTAAAAAGGGGGGTGAGAACGCCAGTGTGGAGTGGGGAGCGTTTTCATGAATGCCGC